TTCAACTGTCCCGGGGGGGGGTCTGCAGCTGCCCCGGCCTGCCCTGGTGGGGGTTCAACTGCCCCGGGGGGGGGCTGCAACCGCCCCGGCCACCCCGAGTATGTGTTGGGGAAGGGGCTGCAACTGCCCCCCCCACCCCCAGTGGGGGGGAGCAAAGGTGGTTCCGTAGCTGCCGCGCACAGGAGCGATGGGGGCAGCCCTGGGCTGCTCCACTTCTCCTCCCCTCTGGAGAGACGCAGCGTTCGCTCCTGGGCGGGGGGGGGGTTCCTGCTTTCTACGGCTGGTCTGATGTTCTGTTCTTGTCCAGTTTCTGTAACCAGGTTTGGTTCTGTAGAGGATTTGAAACCGCCGACAGAGGAATACTTCTTTTTAGGGTTAAACTGAGACTTTTATTTTTCTATTTACTTTATAATTAATTTTTCATTGAAATCAATTCTGCCTCTTTGGTTCTTTTAAGACCGTGTAATATACAAATAAAAAGTAGAAAAACAGTACAGTTAAAAAACAAGAAATAATAACTCCTCCTACAGACATACCCTCCTGATTTACCTTTAAACAATTTATGGAGTTAACAAATATCTAATACTCACGTTAAGATAGAAGCATTGCTTAGATTCAGGAGATATTCTTTTCTTTATGTTTCTCCTTTTTTGGGATTTTTCATTGCAACTTACGACCAGTGTTGTTCCCCTTTCGGAGCTTATGTGCGGCAGCAAGATTCAGCACCGGGGAGCGAACCCTGGTTGATCAAACCTAGCTTTTTGGATTCGCAACCCGTCCGTCCTTGGTCTGTTCCATCCAACCTTATATACCCTGTTTCGGTATTTCAGTTTTCCTCCACTCTCCTGACAATTGCTGACATTAGATTTTTGTTGTCTTGTTCTGCCCTTTCAAAACTTTCGTCTGCTCCATTTGGGGTAATCAGCACTTTGTTGCATATCGCTGTCTGAGTTACTTACTTCCCTAAAAGTGGGGTTATTGTTGGTCATCTAATCAAATTTTGTTTTTATTTTACATCTCTTGTATCTCACAATGCTGCCTTTCCTTTTCAATTACAATTAAACTGGTGCTCATTTGACATATTCTGGGTAGGCCTCAACACCTTCCTTTTACATCCAGGAGGTGGGCAAGTGGACAGGGAAATGTGAGTAGTCAACTCGACTACCCGATAAGCTTAGGCTTATTGGGTAATCATCTAATCGACTTCTCTCTTACATCCCTAAAGAACAGTCAAACTAAATCCGCAGATGTGACTGTAAACAAGCCCTGGGAGCTGGTGTGGGGCATAAAAAAGTGGTGTTCAGCATGGTTAATCTAATTACCGTGTGGCCTCAGACCAACATCCAGATTCTCACTGGCGATAGATGCGTAGCCTGGAACACAACATGTTTTAGCTGCATCTTCTGTCCACTTACAACATGGAACCAACCCTCTTCCACTGACGTCCTGTCTGACTTTGAACTATCAATAAAACAATGAGGAGTCCTGCGGCTCATTAAAGACTAACAGCTGTATTTGGACATAAGCTCTTGTTGGTAAAAACCACTTCATCAGATGCAAGATGTATCTAAGCACGCATCTACTCAGCAGGGCTTAACTCAAAATAAGCTACGCAAATTGAGCTACATCAATTGCATAGCTTATTTCAAAACTGGGAGTGTCTACACAGAACTTACTTCAAAATAGAGCACTCTTCCTCCGACTTCCCTTACTCCTCGTACAATGAGGGTTACAGGAGTCAGAGTAAGAAGTCCTCCAGCTTGACATTATTTTGAAATAACTGCCTGCTACGTAGATGCAGACTATGTTATTTCGAAATAACTAGCGTAATGTTGCTAGTGAAATAACACAGTGTAATGTTGCTGTGTAGACGTACCCAAAGTGGTTTTTACCCACAAAAGCTTATGCCTAAATAAATCTGTTAGTCTTTAATGTGCCACAGGACTCTTTGTAGATTTTGCAGATACAGACTAACACAGACCAACCCTCTGAGATTTGTCCTGTCAATGAGTAGTGGAGTCTCCATCCCCTAGAGGTGTTTAAGTCTCGGCTTGACAAAGCCCTGGCTGGGTTGATTTAGTTGGGATTGGTCCTGCCTGGAGCAGGGGGCTGGACTTGATGACCTTCTGAGGTCTCTTCCTATGGTTCTATGATTCTATGATTCTTTTCTGTCTCCTCACAAAGGAACAGGGAGGTTAAATGGCTGGCTGTGAATCACATTCGGGTCTTTGGGTAAAAGGTGCCACAGATGTGTAAAATTCACAACTCGCTCTCCATTCAGGAATTACAAGCCAGGAATCCCTTATCCAGTTCTGCTCTCTTACGTGCCAGTGTCATGGATCTGATATAGCTGGGAATAGAACTGGGCTTGTGATCTACATTTCAGCACCAATGGTTTAGCTTGTGTTTTTAGTATCTTTTTATAGGTGCAGCTCTTCCCCTGGTTAAGAAAATACTCCCAGTGATAACATTGCTGCTTTTCCCTAAGTAAAATAATTGTTTTTTCTGAAGTCAGTTGCCATGCTAAGAAGATAGAAGAAGAAAAGAAATGACGGGCTCCTCCCCATTTGGGCTGCACTTAGTGCACTTGGATCTCAAAGGTGCTCCACCAAAGGTCTCCTACCTGGCTGAGGTAACACATCTATTGTATGTAGATCAGAGTGTTGAATCAACTCCAAAATGCTTTCAGTCCTTAGCTGGAGGTCACATGTGTACTGCAAGTGAGAATGTAGTGAATCAAATGGGTTTGATTAAGGAGAGCAGAAAATGTGATTTATCCAGAGGCCAAAATGTCTCAGTAAATCTTATTTAAGATGTTACTGATAAACTGCAGTAACTTCCCTCCTTTCCTAGAAGGAAATAATGATTTAGGATTTCTATTTGATGCAGAATAAGCTGTCATCCCTGCCTCCTCCACTAGTGCTAAATTCACCACACAAAATAAAGGGAATGCTTTGCAAATGCATGAGGAATTCACATCCTGCTGCCATTACCTTGAGTTATGTGCAACAGAACGCTGTGAGACATGGGCTAGTCAGACTTGTTTGTTGTGAACATGGATTGCATTATTACATGCCAGACACAAATCTTCCGTGGTTTCTTTCTCTTGTAGATCTTTCCTTTATTTCGTATCCTTGGTGCCAATGGCCTTCTCATTGAGTATGAGGACATGTTTCCTTATGAGGGAGAGCTGAAGCCACTCAGAGCAAAACATGCTTACAGGTACTGCAGTCAGATGGGTCTTGCAAGGGTTATTAGGTGGCCTTCTCATACTGATATGGAGGAGGCTATGGGCTGAGTCCTGGTTTCTGCCTCTTGGACTGAACATCTGGAACAGTTTGTAGAAGCTCCTGGGGGTGGGAGAGAAGTATCATATGCCAATCTTAGGAGTCCAGAGGAATCACTGATGATCTGTTACTAATTGTTTCCAAAAGGAGTGTTATATAGTCTTTGCATTGGGGTGTGGTGGCAGGGTGGTAGCTGCAATATGAGGCTGAGAAAGTGAAAATGCATTATGAAGGGGATGAAGATGCAACAGCAAGCCTCCCCTCACTCCCAAAGCAGGGAGGGAATGAAGGAGAACTTGTCCCGCTGGTGATTGTGTATTTGTTGTTTCCCATTTGTGTCTACCAGGAATACAGCTTTGGCATTTTTTTCATTGAATTTTTCTGCATTTAAAATCAGCCCTTCACCTTACTTCTGGTCCACAGCCTTGGGCTCTTGTCTGTTGGGCCAAGTCAGGACTTGGCTGGGATACCTGTTGGGAAAACTCAAGGAAGTAGTGCAGGCGATTCAGTAGATGAGACAGTTCTGTCCAATACAGTGCTGAGCTGAGGTGTGGTCTGATATCTGAACAAGAGGCACCTGAGGTCCAGTCCTAGCTTTACCACTACCTCTCTCGGTTGCCCTGCAAAAATCACTCAACCTCTAGGCTGAGTTTCCCCAATCTGTAAAATCTGTAAAAGATGCCAGCTTTTAGACTAGAAATAAAAGTAGGCTTCTGACCACACATGATCACTAAGAATCCTAGGATAATTTTCACACGTAAAGGTAATATTATCCCTGGTATCCAGGCTAAATATCAGCCTTGGTTTTCTGTTTTCCCTTCCAACTGTGTTAGTGTTTCTGTCCACTGTTAACTCCATGAAGCCTTCACTACCATATATGTTTATACAGTGAATTGCAGCCTATACAGTCAGTAAAGTCTGTGAAGAGCTTTTACTGGCTTTGGTTAACTTTAAATGCTCTGTTCAGGGAGCCTGGTGTGACTAAACCAAGTATGTGTGCTCTCTCTCGATTTCTCACTCTCGCTCTCTTCCTAGTGCCTCAGAGATTAAAGAGATTTTAAATCTGGCAAAACTGCACGAGTTAGAAGTTATCCCTCTGGTGCAGACCTTTGGACACATGGAAGTAAGCACATTTCTGCACTTGGAGGATGTTATGTAGCATAGGAAATTCTGCACAGCAGCAAATAGCTATGGGTCATCGACATTGCTAGTGTTTAGCATTTGGGGGATAATATGACTGAGCTTTAATAGCATCTTCCATCCAACAGTCCCAAAGGACCCCAATGACATTAATGAATTTGTCCTTTCAACTCCTCCAGTGAGACAGTTGTCCCCAGTTTCCATGTGGGAAAGCTGAAGCACAGAGAAAGGACTTCACAGCAGGCCTTAGCAGTGCCAGGAATAGAACCCTCTCCTGCCTCCCATTCCAAGGCTTTAACAAGATAATATTTCCTCCCCTAACAGATAAACAGACAGATTGTTTTTGTTGGCAAATTCCACCACCTAGCCCAATCAGGCTACCATACCACCTGCCTTGCCACTTCCCTCTCTGCTGTAGGTTTCAGACACACAGCCGATGCAATTGTAACCAGAGTTATCCATGTGATCCCGTGTACACATGTTGATTACAAGAATGAGATGAGACGATGGAGTGTGCACATCCCTCTGATCTGGGAGAACAGCCACTGCTTAGCAGTATTCTGGGATAAGATGCTCTATGAAGGAATAGGAACATCAGAATGTGCCCTGCCTTTGCTGTGTCTGGCCCTGGCTAGTCCTCTGCCTCTGTCATTTTCCTATGCACAGCAACATTTCCAGAATTGTAACAGTGGAGTCTGTTGGGTCCCAAAGTGACATGAGTCAGTTTCATAGTTATGCCAGTCCTGCAGTTATTCTGTGGTTGCATCTGTACATCTCTTCTCCTGCAGTTTGTTCTAAAACACCAAGAGTTTTCTCACCTCCGGGAGGTGGAGATGTTTCCAAATGCCCTCAACCCACACAAAGAGGAATCCCTGAGGCTGGTCAGTGCAATGATTGACCAGGTGGTGACACTACATGATGGCGTACGATGGTTTCACTTAGGCTCTGATGAGGTATGATACTTCCTAATAACACAGGTTCTCTCTGGTGATGAGGGACAAAGCAGAGATTCACTTAGAAATCTTTTGGTAGCTGGGTGTACCAGAAACTCCAGATTTCAGTCATGGATACTGAGGACACATCTGAGCGAAATTCCCTTTTCAAGCAAGGAAACTAGCAAGATCTCAGATCTGAGAAGCTAAATCTAAATGTGATTGCAATGGAAGCAATTTATTTTTAAATAGGAACTAATAGAAGTACATTATTAGCTCCAGAAAGATGGTTCTAACTCAGCACTTGGCTTGAGTAAGATCCATAGTCTGAAAGATCTTCCACTTTGGAGCAGACTTCAAATTTGAGGTCCTAACTGGTAATATATACTATGTATCAAATATATATTGGGGTTGTTTTTTTTTCAAACTAAGATATTAGTCTCATTATCCTGGCCAAGTTCCTTCTTAGTTACGCTCTTCGGGGCAGGGAGCATCTTTTTTCTGTGATTTTTACAGCACCTAGCGGAGTGGGGTCCTGGGCTATGACTCCTATCCACTTCTGCAAATAATAACCAACAGAACATATGTTCTGCTGACAAAAATCTCCTGTCCATTTTGGAAACTCAGGCCTCTTTTTCCAGGATCACGATCTCTCACCTACCCCTCTCTAAACCCAGTAACAGCTCCATGTGATTTTCAGAGCTTTACCATTGTTTCTATTTAGATAACGATTTAGATAATGGCATAGAAAATACACTTGTAAAGTTTGTGGATCATATCTGGCTGGGAGTGGGTTGCAAGTACTTTGGAGGATAAGATTATAATTCAAAATTATTTGGACAAACTAGAGACAGTCTGAAATAAATAAGATAAAATTCAACAAGAATAAATACAAAGTACTCCACTTAGGACATTTCACATGTACAAAATAGGAAATGACTGTCTAGGAAGGAGTACTACAAAAATGGATCTAAGAGTCATAGTGGAACCACAAACTAAATGTGAGTCAAACACTTGCAAAAAAAGCAAATGTTCTGGGATGTATTAACAGGAGTGTTGTAAGCAAGACACAAGAAGTGATTCTTCCACTCTACTCTGCACTGATTAGGCCTGAATTGAAATATTGTTTCCAGTTCTGGATGCCACATTTCAGGAAAGATGTGGACAAATTACAGAAGGTCCAAAGAAGAGCTACAAACATGATTAAAGGTCTAGAAAACATGACCTGTGAGGCAAGATTGAAATAATTGGGTTCATTTAGTCTAGAAAAAAGAAGATTGAGAGGGGATGTAACAGCTTTCAAATACCTAAAAAGTTATTATAAAGAAGAGTGAGAAAAATTATTCTCCTTAACCTCTGATGATAGGACAAGAAGCAGCAGGGAAGGTTTAGCTTGGACATTAGCAAAAACTTCCTAACTGTCAGGATGGTTAAACACTGCAATAAATTGCGTAGAGATGTTGTGGAATCTCCATCATTCCCACGTGTGATTCAGAAACAGATGGGATGACTCTTACGCTGTTCTGCTCAAGGTTCTCCCTAGTGGTTACTCTAACTTGCAGCATCACTGAAAATGCTTTAAGTAGCTTAGTTCATTAAAATATTTAACCCCTTCATTTCTGTGCAGATTTTCTGTCATCACAACACACACGTCTCCACAACCTGCAGAGGTTTTCCTGGGCTCTTAGAGCCCCACATGAAAGCTACTGAGGCTGGCATGCCACCAGCTGTGAGATGAGATTTAAACTGCATTATTATAAGTTAATATCTTTCACGTGAAGTCTCTGTGCTTGCTGCCTGCTACAAGCTCAGGGGGGACAGACAGGGAATCTCTTCCTCCCTACCCCTTTGTCTTCTGTCTGATAAGCCAAAGGGAGAATAAGAAGATAGGGATGAAGTAGGAGACATATTAAAAGAGACTCTACAGTAAAGTAGGATCTTTTGCTTGGTGCTCCCAGGTCTACTATCTTGGTGAAGGTGAGGAATCAAAGCAATGGCTGCAGAAAGAAGAGAACAGCACAGAGAAGCTGTGTCTGTCCCACATGAAAGCTGTTGCAAATTGCATGGTCTCGTCTCATCCAGCAGTGAAGCCCATTGTATGGGATGATATGCTCAGAGGGGTGAGTGAGGAAACACTGACAGGTATGTAAGCTCGGCAGGACACCTCTCATAACTTCATAGCATAATAAAGTCTAAATGCTCGTGTTTGAAACACCGTACTGGGCAACTTGTCATTCAGTGATTTCACAAAGAACTAAGGAGAAAAGAAGGATTGTCCAGTGGCTAGAGTCCTAGGGTATGTCTAGAATGCACCGCTATTTCTGGATATGTCCGGTATCCCGAAATAGCATTTTCTGCATCTTAACAGCATGCCTGTTATTTTGAAATGCAATCAAAATAACGGGCTTGCTATTCCGACGTCCTGGTAAACCTTGTTCCATGAGGATTAAGGGACTTGTTGGAATAGCAGTTTGTTTCCAAATAAGCTATGCAATTTGCATAGCTCAATTTGAGTAGCTTATTTCGAGCTAGCGCCACTGTGTAGACGCAGCCCTAGATTCAGAAGCACTTGTGTCAATTCCCTGCTTTGCCATCAATTTCCTAAGTGACTCTGGGCACGTCACATGGCCACTCTGTGATTGTTTCCCCTATGTGAAATGGGGATAACAACACTGCCCCACCTCACAGGCCAGCCCTGCAGATAAATACATTAGACAGAGAGGGGCTCAGATACTGTGATATCAGGGACGCCATATAAGTACCTAGCAGAGCAAGGTGCCATGATGAGTGGGTCTTTGTCTTCCCTGACCATTTACAAAAATCCCATGGAGCTTTACTAAACTTCCACCCTTGCCTGGGCAGTATCTGTGCACCAGTCAGGAGTTGATCTCTGCTGAAGTGCTTGTAGGCTAGTGGTACAGAATCATGAAGAGAAGCCATGACTTGGTGTCTCTAACATTGCACCTTATTACTGTGCATGTAACAGTGATGACTAGAACTGAATTGTAACAGAGAGGTAGCCATGTTAGTCTGATCTTGGTAAAACAAAAAAAGCAGTCATGTAGCACTCTAAAGACTAACAAGATGGTTTATTAGGTGATGAGCTTTCATGGGGCAGACCCACTTCTTCAGATCATATTCTGAAAGTGAATTGGCATGACCATTATATAACAGAGGGATACAATGAAGAAGTAAACAAATTATACAGCAATGAAACAGCTGCATAGAATAGAAGGTGGGGGCAAGGGGAGGAGGAAGAGACAAGGAAGGAGGAAATTGCTTAGTGTAAGAATCAATTAAGTGGCTACTCTGGTGTTACTACGAATATCAAAAGGTGGGGAGGCTGTCTTTGTAATGTCTTTCTAATGTGAGTATCTGGGGAGAGAGACTGGACACAACAGGTGATGTCTCTCAGGAACTTGGGATCTGGGGTTCACTGCACATTCCCGTAAGGCCTGGGCTAGACTGGCAGGCTCACAGAGTTTGCTGGCCAGGTGCACAGACTGGTGTGGCAAGGAAGTAACACACAGTTTAAGCTCCAGGAAAGCTCTCTCTTGCTCAGGCAGGGAGATAACAGCAGTTTATGGCTCTGAGCATCCTGAGGGAAGTATCCCAAGGTTATCTATCCAAATATGCACGTTGTTCACCTGGGGATCCACTCCCCACAGGGAGGGCACCAACAGGGTGCAGGGCATTATGACCACCTTCCCCTTTAGGTAATTATCATCTAAATTAAGGCCCTTTCACAACATGTCGAATTTTAGCATAAATAAAAGTTCTGAAGTCTCCCTCTGTAATCTGGTGTTAAAATCTCTTTGAAATAAGACACATGTTGTCAGGTCTTTAAGGGGATGGCCAGTTTGATTGAAATGTCGGCTAAGAGGTTTCTCTGTGTGGAGATGTCTGATTTGTGAGCATTGATTCTCTGGCGAAGTGACTGACCAGTTTGTCCAATATACATCGCAGAGGGACATTGCTGGCACATGATGGCATATAGCACATTGCTGGATGTACAGGAATATGAGCCTTTGATTGTATAACTGACATGGTTAGGTCCAATGGTGGTGCCTCCAGAGTAAATATGTGAACAAAGCTGGCGACGGGGTTTGTTTCATGGAAAGTTCCAGGGTTAGTTTTAATGTGGTATGCCCTGTGGCTGTTGGTAAGAATCTTCCTGAGGTTAGGTGGTTGTCTATAGGAGAGTATAGGCCTGTCACCCAGAACTAAGTTGTGGGACTGCTGAATTGTGGCCTTGTTCATGTTAGTCTTTTTCCAACTATTGCTAAACTTGAGTGCAGTCCTGGTATAAACAGGGACCTAAGCAACCATCAGCATTGTCGCCACGCTAGCACTAAGATCTGCTCTGAACAGTTTAAAATGGAGTTTGGGTTAAACACTGAATTTTTGCAACATTTACTCATGTTGGCAGTGGCTTCTCCATGGCCGGGTTTTCTTCAATGTTTAAAGTGAATTAATCTTTTATATAGTAACTATTGATCAAACCTGCAGCTTTGTACATACCTAATTTTCACTGAAGTTGGTGGAAGCTTTATATGTACAAAGAATACAAGATTAAACCTTTGTGCTACATTTTTGTTCCCATGAGCACATGCAGTGGTAAGCCCAGGGGATGGATAATGAGCCTGGCTGGAGATGAAGAACTCTTATGCTGTGTCTACACTACTGCTTATCTCAGCAAAACTCTGAGGTGTGAATATTTACACACACACACCAGCAACATAAGTTACACCAACATAAGTGTTCATGTGCACAGTTGTGTCGGTGGGAGAGCTTCTTCCGCCGAAGTAGCTTATGCCAGTTTTGGAGGTGTCTCTCCCTTGTTAGCATAGAGCGTCTTCACTGGACATGCTGCATTGGCACAGCTGTACCAATATCGCCATGCCACTGCAGCGCTACAATATAGACCTGGCTTTAGTCTAGGCAATAGATGGGTTCCATCTTATGGATGGTCACTCACTGGCCCACTGATTGGGCCCTTTGCTGACAGTCTCAGGAAAGAATCTAGGGACTGAATGGAGCCTGAACTGCCTCTCACTGTGGAAGAGGCCAGATGGGACTTGTGCTCTGGATCTGCCTGTGCTCATGTCTGTTGTCTGGGTAGAGAACATCTGCATCCGCGACTGACAAACCCATCCCGTGGGATTTGATTGAGAGCTGATTACTGCAGCTTTAACTGACCATTCGGCATCACTTAAAACAAATTCTGCTCCTTCTAGAGTCTGGGGTAGCTCAGCTGATGGAGCCAATGATTTGGGACTATGCGCCGGATCTCGATGAGGATGGCAAAGGTTTGTGCTGTTGGTTCTGAACTTCTCAGAGTATGCAAAACTCTCCATTAAATCTTAAAAATAGCCAGGTTCTAATTCTTATATCACATGGTCCTCTGACATCAGAAACTTTTGCTGCAGCACCCATCTCTGTAAGTAATGGAGACAACTACACAGATCTTGTTAGAATCTATGCACACTGATTATTGCTGCTGAAAAGGTTTTTCAAGGGAAGTCGGGCCTCTTCCTATCAAAATATATGGAAAGATAATCTTAGCCTACCCTTTTCTTAAACTGCCGGCATCACTTTTTTAACACCTTCTGTTTGTCATCAGAATCTCTAACCTTTTCACACTATCACACCTTTTGCTTTAACTTCATGGAATTGTACCTGTTCTGTCTGTCTGTACTCTTGTTGTGAAGGATTTTCATGTCTACCATGTTATCTTGTTTTTAATGGCCTGGGCATCAGTATAGTCAAGAAGGGATGTCATTGTAAAAA